GGGCCCCGATGCCGGTCCCCGGCCCCAGCAGGGGGTTGTAGGGGCACGTCGGGGACAGGGGGTCCTGGTCGCATTGGGGGAACAGCGCGCGTTAACGGACGGCTGTGGTGTGATTTGGTTTGGGATGGCTAAAATGTTGCGGCTGGGGGGTAACAGGTGGAAAGTGTCTGTGTTTGGCTGGAAAGCCTGTGGTGGCCTCAGGTAAGCGATAGAAATGCCGACTCCTTTACGGTTTTTGTCCTTTTACAGGTGCGATTCCAAAGGAAGGGCGAACGACCTGGAAAATCGGAGCTCATTTGTGTATAGCCTCTAAAAGGATGGGAGAAGTACGAAGAAGGGTTTGTGTGATGTGTACTGCCTCCTGTGACACCGGGGTGCTAGAAATAAATTGTTTTCAGAATCAAATCCCATATTCTCCTTTTCAAAAGGAATATGCTCCTTTGCAGGGTCCTCTCCAGACTTCTCAGATGCAGCTCAGCTATCCAAAAACTGATGTCTGGTGCTGTCTTAGACAATATTCTTTGGCAGTAAGTCTTCCTGACTGCTCTCCTTACAGCTTTGAAAGGCATTATGACATCTACAGCCAGGTTTGTGCTGACAAGTAGTATGGCTCAACAGGAGCAGATCTTTAAAGAGATAGAGTTGGGACTGGAAATCCAACATCCACAAAAAACGTTTTTGGGGAGCTTTACTTTGAATTATGTCTTCCCTGGCCCCATGGACTGCACACCAATTAGCCGTTGAAATGCATGAGGTGTGCTCCTATGTACAGCACACCTACTAGCTTAGCACCATCCGAAAGTAATCTAGTTTGCGCATTGAGACTGTTCTGCAGTACAAACCAAAGTGCAGCAAGCAGAGATTACTAGAAGATTCACTTTGAAAGTGCGCTTCAGACATCCATTCAGGCACCGATGCGGAAGCACCCTGCATCTGGCAGGCAGCTGCATTAAGACGGCGACACTTTGAAAAGACATTTACATAACCACTCCTACACACGGAGGCCGAGGCTGCACACACTATGTAACACTGGCACAATACACTCCACTCTTCCAGATGTCTGCCTTATGAGACTGCTCCCTACTTGCCTGTAAGTTGTGGTCATCCTAGGACTATGAGTGCACTAACCCGACCCTTCCAGAATGAAGCCCGTGGAATGACAAACAAGACTCACCCACTTTTACCAAATGCCAGTCCACAGTGTGTACATGCTCAGATCAAGGGTTAGCAAGAGCACTGGAAGAGAGAGACAGAGGGAGGAGGCTTTTGGGCAGAATCCTGAATTACTTTCAAGGAGAACAGAGAGACAGTGCAGCTCCTAGAAAAAAACAATAGCCTGCACAAACACATGGATTAAACATTAGGAAGAAATTTTTCACTGTGAGGGTGGTAAGGCACTGGAACAGGTTGCCCAGAGAAGTTGTTGAGGCCCCATCGCTGGAGGTGTTCGCGGCCAGGCTGGATGGGGCTTTGAGCAACCTGGTCTAGTGGGAGGTGTCCCTGCCCATGGCATTGGTTTGGAACTCGATAATCTTCAAGGTCCCTTCCAACCTAAACCATTCTATGATTCTGTGGAGAAGGGGAGTGTAGGTATTGACATAAGGCACGGGCAGAAATCCAAAAGCCATCAAAGACTGAGCAGTGAAGAAGTCAAGATGAAGCAGTTTTGATTTATAAACATTTCTATCAGGGTCTTGGGGTATGCCTCTGATACCAGTTCAGCTTGTCCTGCTGGTTCAGGGCAGGGACTCTGAAAGACTGATCTGTAAAAATGTCCCCACAGCCTTCCTTGCCCACTCAGAGCCGCAAAACAGGCTCCACAGGGAACGCACCCAGGGTCATGGCTGCTGCCTGCAGGGACAGGACACAGAGAAGAAAAACATACTCTCTCTTCTTTTCTCTCCCTTCTCCTCTTTCTCTTTTCCTGGGAAGACACTTTCTTTCCCCTGGCTCTTGGCTGCCTCCAGGCTCACGAAG